CCATTTGATTTTTTTAGTGCGCATGTAAAACCAGATTTAAAAATTTACAAAAGTATCCTTTAACAAGCAGCAGCTGTAGCTGTTACCAGTTTATGGGACACTTATATTTATTGTATCACTGGAAGCTATTTAAATGGGCTGGTATTTACTAGCATGATTGTCATTGGTGGATCACATAGCCACATGGGTGTAAGGACTGATTTCTATCTTTTTTTTAGTTTATCTACAATAGAAGAAATGTTACATTTGTTTTTAATTTTTTTACAGTTTTTAAAATTATCAGTTGATATACGTTATTTTCAAACTGACCAACATAGATAACTGAGTTAAATAGTTTTTTGAGAGCGATCGCTTTGTCTTAATTATGATAGGTCGTTTTTGCAGACAAAAGGAAAATCTACACCATTCTCAGATATGTCCAGTTCATCAATCCATTTCATCACCACATTAAATCTTACTGACTCTATCAGAAAATTAAAATAAGGAGTTACAAAATCTGAATTTGATCATGTCAGATAGGTCTATATTTTGACAGATTGTTCCCACACCTAGTACTCCCCAAAAGAGTGAATGCCTTTTTCTGTTGTTGTACACCACAGTATTTGATCATATGTTCAAATGGAAAGTGATATTCTTCAAGTGAAAATCTATTAAGTGGCTTAAAAGAAATGTGGTAGAAGAGTTTGTGACTGAAAGAAAAGGTGAGCATTAGTCATCCCAGTGCCATTCTGTCTCATGTTTTCTCAGTCAAGCTGCACTCCCTTGCTCATGTCTGGATAACCGTAATACTGGGGCTTGTGTCAAAAAGGCATTTGTTGGAGCTGGGTTCAAAAGGGACGGTGTCACTCAGGAATAATTCTTAATGTGGACTTGTATTTTCCTGCCGTTGAGTGTCATTCTTAACCCACTCAGCTAGAGTGGACAGTGAAAGTAGACTGACATCCAGTTGTCAATCACTGCACAATATTTACAATTTACTGGAGTTGGAGTTGAATTTATTTAAATCATACAGGGCAATTTTCTTTTAGATTTATCATGCAATTTAATTCTGCTTCGAAGTGGAGTAGGCAATGTGCGAGAAGATCAGTTTTTTAATCTTATATTTTCAAAATTGGTTAAAAAGAAACGCTGACCATACACTAAAAACCACACGTGCAGAAATTCCCCAAATACACAAGACAATTTTAGTAAGTCAATTTATGCAATCATGGAGCGGAAAGCGAATTCCATGCAAGCCATCAGATTATTATCTGGGCATTTACTCTAACATCAATGCAAGGAGACACTTCTTAATGTCCATACTGCTCCCTCATACAAATTGTCTTGTCCTGTACATAATTGTGACAGAAGGTGTTTGGAAGATTCAGTTCAGCAGTCCAAAAAGCTAAATAACTTTTATGGAATAATTTCTAAAGGTTTACCATGGTATATGGTAAAAGCAGAGTATAATTCTGATATAATTATATATATATCATATGATATAATCAGGTAAAATATATAGGAAAGCACAAGACCATCAAGACAGACCATGTAGATGTATGGTAAAGCATGATACACACTGTAGGAAACACTAAAAATACCTTGCATAAACATGGAAAAGCTAAAAAAAGCCATTCAATTTTATCATGGCCTTTATTGATTAATATTATTGTATTGATTTATTTTAAAATAAAGGCATTTTTAAAAAAGGACTGTAGTATAGTTCTTAAAAATTCAAAAGCAAGAGCTAGGGGAAAGCAAGGCTTGTTTCTTGGGAATCTGAAATGATTGCAGGGGCTTGTTTTTTTACTCGTTCTTTGTGTCATTGTAGTACTCTAAGAATGAATGATTAAAAAAGGTCCTGGGCCTTTTGATTTTAAATCTATAAAAAAATAAAGAAATTCAGTTCTTGACATTTCATTTTGATCCCCTTTTTGGTACATAGGCAATTGTATCCTGCATAAAACTCAAGCATATGAATTATTTATTTAGAAAATATTCAACTCGAAACATCCTTGAGATTTGCATCTTATCTTCAAGGGCATCCTGCAAGCAGTGCAGTCTTAACATTTGACAAATCCAGTACTCTTCATAATATATGAAGAGTCTTTTATAGGTAATTAAAAGTGGAATAAGCAATCTGTTTTTATTTTTTTCTTATTTAATTCTTACATGGTGATGTGGTTCATAGTGCGTTGCAGTAGCAGACAATTTGCATAGTTAAATAAGGATCAATTACTTAAATAGCTCCTCTGATTGGTTGTGAATGTGTGAAAAGAAGATGCTACAAGGACTCACCGTTATATGAAATAACAAAGTTGATTAAAACTGTGTCAAACTGACACCTTCAACTACAGCATGAATCCTTTTATTCTCCATGCATTTATTTCAGGAATCACATTTCCATAAACTCATCATAAATGCAGCCCCCTTCACACGTGTACTGCATCTCTCTCATCAACAAAGCTGTTACGTTCTGACTGCTCAGAAGCAAAAGCTGTAAATTCAGTTTAAAACCTGTTTTAGTTTGAAGTCCTGACAATTTGATTTGTTTGGAAACTACTTAAAAGAAACTACTTAAAAGGCTGCACTTTAAAATCTCTCATCCACAACGATGGTATTTTCTTTTTTGGTGTCTAACATTGCTTTTTTTATTTGTTAACTGATTACTGATTAAGTACATCATTTATGCAATACTATTGCTCAAACAAACACAGAGGTGTCTCCTTCAAAGCACCAGTCCACCCATATGTCCTCCTCTGATTTCAGTACTTCTCTTCGTGCGATAAAGTCACAGGGTATGCACCATTCCATTACATTTTTGGTCTGAATCTGCCTCCGTTTAGGTGCCTGGAATGTGGCATTGATAGACAGTGCAAAATGATCTTGTGGGATTTTGTTTTTGAAAACCAAGAGCCCAGGAAAAGGGAAGCTATTGCTCACTTTTTCTCTCCATATAGAAGACATAATCTTGACAAATGTCTTTTTTATTGTGGCAAATCATGGCTAACCACATGCTTTTCACATTACCAAATCCTGGCAAAGTCAGAACCCCATGCCAGGAAAATAATGAGTCTAATAATACAATTGTATTGTGAAAAAAGAAAGAGATGTTGAGTTCCCAAAGTCCACTGACAGGGAGTCACTTCACACAATGCTCCAAATGTTTACAACAGACAATTTAGTTTCCTTCCAACAATTATGAGGTAAATTGAATCTCAGGAAATGTTCGTTTTCTCGTCCATTAGACGAAACAATAACAGTATCCTTGAAGGTTTACAAAAACATCTGTCTTCAAAAGGACAATCTAGAAAATTAATCTCTACAACATGACAAAGCACAGGCAAAGTACATCCAATCAAAGCAATTGAGTTCTCCATTTCTGTTAGCATGCAAGGATATTAAAAACCATTTCTAAAGTGGTTTTTACTTGCTATAATTGTTTATACACAAGTCAATTTTTGGATAATTATTAAATGTTTTTTGAACTGCTCCTGTTCAAACCAAAGCCAAAGGCCCTTTTTAATTGTATACATATATTATTTATAAAATGTTAAACATGTAATCTTAATATTAATTGTTACCTTATTTGTTGGATATCCCATGATCCAAAGCTTTGCTCTTTGCCTCCTTGATCATTCACCTAATTGTAATAGCATGTTTTGAGGAGCTAGCATCATTACATCTTAACATACTGTAAAACACAGTGGAAAGTTGTGTGTACTGTAAAATAAATAAAAGGTCAGTATGTTAACTGTGTGCTTTTTAGATCATGAAAAAAAATCCTTCTGTTTTGAAGCCCTGTTTTTTTGCTTTTGTAAAATGAAAGAGAAAATGGAAAACTCTGAAAAACGTTTTTTGCTGTTTATGTGCTAAAAGTATTTGTTTGCAAGATAAATGGCTGTTCTGGTGAAGAAGATGACAGCCTACACGAAGATGATATTGAATTGATTTCTGAAATGTTGCAGAACTGACTGTTTGATATATACCGCAAGACATGAATCATAAAAATTCTATTAAAAACCTCTTGAATGGCTGACACCAGAATATTATTTGTGATGATTAATTTGACTCAGTCATTATGAACGGAGTCAAGTCAGATTGCTTCTGACAAAATTGCTTTTCATTCCCCATTGAATACCCCCAGTATGCATTTTGAGAGTACAGAATCATATTTCTCAGCACACCTCTATGTTGAGGTAGTTGTAGATGATAATAGAGAAATGCTTGGAAGTGGTGATTTTTAAAACAAAAAAGAAATCAAGTTACTTTGTCTTAGGAATTATAGGGTTGTTAATGCTTACTGTTGCCCTTATTGTTTCCCTTTTCTATGCTTTTAAGTTTTTTTGTTATGTTTTATTGTCATACAGGGATTTTCCCCTGAATTTCTCTGAGTTGTAACTGGTAAACTGTACATGGTGCTGAATCATATATGTAAGCTATGTGAGAATGAGAAACTGCGCAAAGTACAGTAAATCATGTATGCATGTGGGAAGGGATAGATTTTAATCTTCATTACAAACAGAACTGTGTTTTTGGTCAGGTATGTTAATGGCCTGCTTTCTTTACAGCACAAACCTGACTTCCCAGTACCCTGAAGTGAAAATGATACGTAGTTCTGTGCAAACGGGAAATTCACAAATATTTATGTTGAACTCTTGGGATTTTCTGTGTTTTCAGGACCCACTTAAATGGGTATTTTACAGAATCATATTTCCCTCAGTTTTTCATTCTCTAAAAATAACTGAACCCACAATATTTACACTGTGATATTACTTGTGGCGAAACTGTTTTTCATTAACCACTGTATACAGTAGTTGCATTATTCTGCTTTAAGATTTTTTGGGTTGACTAGGAACCTTGTGATTTCAGTCTTGATGAGACACATTTACTGTTTACTATGCTTCTTACAAAACAGTCCAATCTGCTTGTCCCAAAGAGGAACTGCAGCGTTTATAAGGTATAATCCTGTATGTTGGTTGAATTGCTAGAAAGTCATTTTTTGTTTCTTTGCTCTCCAGAACTACTCCAGTCAGGGTGGTGGTGGAGGTGATGAGGACTACGAGATCCCCCCCATCACTCCTCCAAATCTCCCTGACCCCTCCCTGCTCCACCTCATGGACCCAGAGTCTGGCTACCACTCCCTATGCCACTCACTGCCACCCAATGGCCTGCTGAATCCCTACTCCTACCCAGAACTGCCAGCCATCATGATGTCCAACATGCTTGGGCAAGATGGACATCTGCTCTCCAGCCAAATGCCTTCTGTAAGTCAGTTTGGTTTACCCCCCTGTCTAGGCACAGTATTATGTCTGTAGTGACTGATGTGTCTGAATGAACCCAGGCAGCAAAAGGAAACCAGGGACACAATTTCCTGAGATCCTCTTCTCATACAATTCATGCCTTTGGCAGGACTTTGATTGTATCAGTACTTTAATTGCTCAGCTCATCCTGCTGCAGTAAGTCACTTCCATAGCTTAGGAACAAAAGACTTGCAACAGAAAGTATGATGTCCCTGTCTTTGCATGTAGCTGTGTGCATCATTTGTACTTGGTAGAAAAGATAAATATAGCTAAAAAGCCTTCCTCTGTAGCTTATTAACCTCTTATGCATAGATTGTGTTTGGACAGGGATTCACATCAGAGGAATGTTGTTTAAAACGCTTTGAGTCTTTTGAAGAAAGGGGCAATATCAATACTGCAAGATTAGCTCCTTCTTGTTTCATGGGGAGCAATGGTTTCAGGATTTTATCCCTAAAATCAGTAACAGCTCCAACTCAAGAGAGAACTAACCTTTGATTTCATTTTGCATCAACGGGAGATTGCTTACTGCTTTGCCTTGTGACAAAAACTCTGACATGAGTTGAAGGGATAAAATCTATGCTAAACAGGAAGCTGAATTTTGTAGTAAATTTGTAACTGTGAGTATCACCTCTTTTAATAACATTTAAATTAAATTAGACAAATTCAGGAGTTGTTTAATCATAGTGGATATATTAGCACAGTAAAATATATTTTAAAACGACTACCGTAATATGAAAAAAGATCTCTGGGTAGTAAGAAACTACCAAAACAGTCTGAATCTTATTTGTTTTAATTGACCTAGAAGACCTGCTATCACCTAAATGGCAGTGTACACCTGTTTTTCAATCCCTTCAAAACATACAGTAAGTTAGGACCTGAATTTAATATGAAAACTGCTACAATATTTTGTAGAAGTTCTATGATATTTTCAGACAAGAGTTTTTTTTTTCAGATAGTATCACTGAAATCTCAAGCTGTTGTTGAATAACCTTTAATAATCAAAACAGTGCATCTTTGATTAATCAAAATTTGTTTTTTTAATTGGTTGAAAAATACATTTACCTGTAAACTAGTTTGTGTGTAATTCAGGACTGTTTTTCATTATTTTTGATATTTCAATCTGTAGCTTATTTTTATTTGATACTTAAATCCTTATTAGGCTTTCTCCATAATACTGTAATGCTAAATTTGTTTTGGACTGTTTTGGACTTTTGCTGCACAGCTCCACGGAAATCTTTAGGTCAGAGCATCAGTTTAATCTTGAGTACTTGTTTTTTTTTCTTCTCCATACACTGTAAAAAAAGAGTACATGAAATTTTCAATTGGAAAAAATCCATTAGATGTCATCTGCCCAGCATCAGGCATTCTTCACTTGACAGGCTGGGAAATTAGGTATTATGCCAGTACACTGCAGCAATAAGATCTGTTTTTATCAGGCAGATTCATCACTAGAGTTTGGAAAAAAAGAGTCAGAGAAGGCTGAAGAGAAAAGAAAATGTTCAAATGTAAAATTCTTGATGAAGAATGTTGACGGTCTCTTGATAGATGAGAAAAGAATAAGTAGGTTTATTATATATATATTAATTACTGATTTGTCAATATGTATTTCAATGATAATAATAACCCCCAAGTGGCTACTATATGCATCCCTCCAGTATTTATGCAACAGACATGTTTTCACGGTTCAGGTACTGGCTGTGACACAGCTGACATTGGTAGTCAAAACCTGTGATTACATACATTTTTGACTAGATTAATTCTGTGATTAAAAGGGATGTAATTCTCATTCGTTTGGTATAATATTTTAGTTTTTTTTTTTCAAAACAATAAAAAAATAATTAATACTTTCAAACAATATTAAGTAGAAAAATTCAGGAATAAATTGTTTTATACCTTAATTTGATCATTAATCATACAGCCAAGCTACTTAGATCAGTTTCTGGGGGCGTATTGAGTTTATGTACTGTAAGAAGAGTACAGGATTTGGGGTCAGAAAAAAAATAAACATATACAGGGAGGAACTGAATCTCTAAAAGATCTTACGAAGTTCTCAATTCCTATGGCTTCGTACAAGGTGTTCTCAGATGTGCAATGGGATGCTTTCCATTTTAACCTCAACGACCAGCTCAGTGTGCAGAACTGGATCAATTATGACAGACTTGCATACAGCCAGCTAATGCAATGGTTCAGTTTTGCGTGAGGAGAGACAGAGGATGGCGCTGTTGAGAACTCTGTTTTAACTAAAGTGGAAACAAAGGGGAGGGTAACGACCTGAATTTGGAAAAGCTGGAGAATGCACTTTTCCCTGAAGTGTGGCAGTGAATTGATCTAATCCCATTTTTTTTCTTTTTAGTAAGTGGCTGTATATGCTTAAAGCATATAATTACACACATGTGCATTTCTTCCTGAGAATTTTGAATAAAACATTATTTATGCACCACCATTTTACCTTCTTTGTGATTTGAACAAAAACAAATCAAGCAGCAGTCCAGGTACTGTAGGTGCTTAAAATTAGGAGCATAAAATATAAATAAATCCAACCTTTCTTCAGAAATTGTTTAATGTTTCAGATTGCCTCTTTTTCAGACATGACAACTATTTAGATTGAAAGCTATAATTGCTGGAATTTTCCTAATTCAAGACCATTTCAAATCCATTCGTCCCTGTCACACTCATTGTTTTGTGCTTTTTTATGCTGTTGGGATAAACCTGGTGCCCAACTGCAAGCTGTTTTTAATGTACACAGCTTTGAGTGATATTATTTGCCAGCCTCCTGTTCTTCCCGCTAAACTTGTAAATGCTATGACAGCTCCCTGAGGTTCCAAAGGCATTAGATGTTTAATATCCATATTCAGGTAGTGCATATCACATAGATGTGATCAGACTAGACACACGTCTTTGTTAATGGTTTAGGCAGGGTGTATTACAGTTGCTTTGTTTTTTCTATACCTTATTAGTGACTGTATATTTATGCTTTCATTATTTTCTCAAAGAATATACCTGAATGTTGAAAATAAGCATAACAAGGAGAGAAACTGAGATTGAGTGAAAACACCCATTTATAGACCTGTCAGGCAAATAATAGACATGAACTGCAAGGCTTTTATCCAGGTTTTAGCCATTTACAGAATTAGTGGATTAATTACAGTATACTTTATTCTGTATTTTATTTAGGGTCAGTCAGCTAAATACAGTCACTGTCATTTACAGTCATGAGAAGGGGATCCATTTATACAGCAGGGCATTTTGGAGCAATTTGAGCGAAGTACAGTGCTCAAGGATAGCACAGTAGCATCACACATAGGATTAACCCAAGACCTTACAGTCTGGACTCCAGAGCCCTAATGACTGTATTCAATTCCATTTTAGATGGAACAGCACTCTCCCGTGCAAATTATCTTTAAACATATACAGTAGCTATTTATTTCCAGATTTGTATACTGCAGTGTACAGATTCAAAATTGAGTCCATCTTATCTTTTTTAAACTAATCAATTTAAGAAGTGAGAAAAAGCTTTAATTAGCCCAAGGCTTGATTGGATCCTGTTACGTCCCAGTGTGTGGTCTGTGTGTTTTTTGTTATGTTCCACACTGCTGACCTTTGATTGTTCTCCCTCCCCCATTAGTCCACTATTACACCACTGTTCCGTATGACATCATCATCAATCAGCCTCTCAGCCAATCAGACTGCATCTTATTCAGTATATAACATGGAGGTTTTCAGGAAGGAGAGGCCTTTTGTTTGACTTCAGTCCTGCTTGGTTTTTGCTTTGCTTCATTTCGCTTTGGTTATTTTTGTGTGTATGTATTTTCGTATAGCTTCGGCTTTGTTGTTTTGTTGGTTTCTGTTAGTTTCTTTGTACTTTTGTTTGTTTGTGTTTATCCTTGTTTTGCCATTACCTTGCCCTAACGTGTTACATGTTCAACCTTTTTGTTCCTTCGTACCCTGTTCCTGTTGATTACTCTCATTTTCCGTTATTTGTATTCCTAGTTCACTTGTGTTTTTGTGTGAGCTTTTGTGTATAAGGTTAGTTTAGGTTGTTGGGTACATTCTACACACTTAGTTGATTTTGTATTAGTAAAACTAGTTTAGTACGGGTCTTGTATGGTTTTGGGTAGTCAGTGGAGGTTAGCTAGGGTGTTGAAGACGCCGAAGACTGTGTGTTTCGGGTTTTCTTTTGTAGTCAAGTTAGCTTTCCCTCACTTTCCTAGCCAGCTCCATTTTGTTTGTTACAAAATCACTTTTGCACCCACCTTTGTTATCAAGCTTCCTAGTACCTCACCAGAACCCACCTGTATCCAGAAGAATTATCCTAAATGTTACACCCCTTTACCTCTAGACGCTTGGGGTCGTAACAGATCCATAATTCAATAATAAATAAATGATGGCTCCATAATTAAGACCTTGAATATCTTTTGGTTTTGACCTGGAAGGCTGGAAGGCCATGAAAAATACTGAAAAAAATAACAGTGCAGATGTAGCCTTCTTGGGTTACCAAGGAGCTCAGAGAGCAAAGGTTCTCATTGATCTTGCAGGTTGTAACCCAGATGTTACTGGTTTGGGTTTGGGTCATATCACTAACTGACTGTGACCAGATCTCCCTAAACACAACTGGCAGAGCGCCTCCAGGGTAAAATAGGGACTTTCCCTTACAACTAACCTTGATGACAGACTCAGGACAGTAGGATTTAAACCCTTGATGTTACTGAGATTTCAGTTTATCAGATAACTGTATATATATAATTAATGTACCACAAACCCTTGGCCTGAAGAGGGAGGAAGAATTATTTATCCCCAGTGGTTTATTTTCTCTCCCTGGGGGGTTATGTTTTTCTCTCTTCTGCCCACATTGTCTACAATATTGTCGACTCCTGTACAATTCTGTACAGAGCTCTGTGAAAAACTGTTGCAAAAGACACCATAGCAAATACTGTAAAATGATCGTTTGGTTATGCTCATCTGAT